CAAAAAAATGGTACCGCTTTCAGCACAAAATTCCTGACATAATCATACCGCCAGGGAGGTTAATCAGAGGCAGGAGAGACATGGACACTTTTCTGATCAATTTTGGAGGGAGAACAGGAGCCCAGCTGTGAGATTGACATTTCCACTTATTCCACTGATGGGGGGAGGAGCTAAATCTCCAGTTGTTTGTGAATTCTGACATTTCTTCCATTTCTCTCCATCAGATGGCGCTGATGTCAGGAATTCCTCAGAGAGATGTCTTCTATTATCTGCTGATTGGAAGTCAGAAGATAATGCCATCACACAGGATTCTCCAGGAGTGAATCCAAATACACCATATATCCATCACAGACCTTCCTGTCCGGAGACCTCAATGGATCCCTCTGATCAGGGGGAATCTTCTGACCAATCACATACTAGGAGTGCAAATGTGCATTTAGGATCCCACACTGCAGAGAGATCAACAGATCCATCTAATCCCGAGGAATCTTCCGCACCCCATGAAGGAGCTCACCGAGGGGACAATCTATTCTCATGTTCAGAGTGCGGGAAATGTTTCACTAAGAAAGGAAATTTAATTCAGCACCAGAAAATTCACACGGGTGAGCGTCCTTATTCATGTTCAGAGTGCAGGAAATGTTTCTATAAAAAAAACTCATCTTGTTACACATCAGAGAATTCACACAGGTGAGCGTCCCTATTCATGTTCAGAGTGCGGGAAATCTTTCACTCAGAAAGGAATCCTTGTTACACATCAGAGAATTCACACGGGTGTGAGCGTCCCTATTCATGTTCAGAGTGCAGGAAATGTTTCCCTTTGAAAGAAGAACTTGTTCTTCATCAGAGAATTCACACAGGTCAGCGTCCTTATTCATGTACACAGTGTGGGAAATCTTTCATTCATAAAGGAGACCTTGTTAAACACCAGAGAATTCACACAGGTGAGCGTCCTTATTCATGTACACAGTGCAGGAAATCTTTCATTCATAAAGGAGACCTTGTTAAACACCAGAGAATTCACACAGAGGAGCGTCCTTATTCATGTACACAGTGCGGGAAATCTTTCGCTCGTAAAAGAGAACTTGTTGTACATCAGAGAAATCACACAGGTGAGTGTTCTTATTCATGTTCAGAGTGTGGGAAATCTTTCGTTTGTAAAGGAGCCCTTGTTAAACATCAGAAAATTCACACGGGTGAGCGTCCTTATTCATGTTCAGAGTGCGGAAAATGTTTCACTCAGAAAGGAATCCTTGTTACACATCAGAGAATTCACAAGGGTGAGCGTCCTTATTCATGTTCAGAGTGTGGGAAATCTTTCACTCAGAAAGGAATCCTTCTTACACATCAGAGAATTCACACGGGTGAGCGTCCTTGTTTGTGTTCAGAGTGCGGGAAATCTTTCACTCAGAAAAGAGACCTTGTTACACATCAGAGAATTCACACAGGTGAGCGTCCTTATTCATGTTCAGAGTGCGGGAAATCTTTCACTCAGAAAGGAATCCTTGTTACACATCAGAGAATTCACACGGGTGAGCGTCCTTATTCGTGTTCAGAGTGTGGGAAATCTTTCATTCATAAAAGAGTCCTTGTTAAACATCAGAAAATTCACACGGTGTGAGCGTCCTTATTCATGTTCAGAGTGTGGGAAATGTTTCCCTTCGAAAGAAGAACTTGTTGTTCATCAGAGAATTCACACAGGTGCGCGTCCCTTTTCGTGTTCAGAGTGCTGGAAATCTTTAATTCATAAAGGAGACCTTGTTAAACACCAGAGAATTCACACAGGTGAGCGTCCTTATTCATGTTCAGAGTGCGGGAAATCTTTCACTCATAAAGGAGACCTTGTTATACACCACAGAATTCACACGGGTGAGCGTCCTTATTCATGTACACAGTGCGGGAAATCTTTCCCTCGTAAAGGAGACCTTGTTGTACATCAAAGAAATCACACAGGTGAGTGTCCTTATTCATGTTCAGAGTGTGGGAAATCTTTCGCTTGCAAAGGAGACCTTGTTAAACATCAAAAAATTCACACGGGTGAAAGTCCTTATTCATGTTCAGAGTGCGGGAAATGTTTCCTTAAAAAATCTCATCTTGTTACACATCAGAGAATTCACACAGGTGAGCGTCCTTATTCATGTTCAGAGTGCGGGAAATCTTTCACTCACAAAGGAATCCTTGTTATACATCATAGAATTCACACGGGTGAGTGTCCTTATTCGTGTTCAGAGTGCGGGAAATGTTTCACTTCCAAAGGAGAACTTGTTGTTCATCATCAGAAATTCACACAGTTGAGCGTCCTTATTCATGTTCAGAGTGCGGGAAATCTTTCATTCATAAAAGAGCCCTTGTTAAACATCAGAAAATTCACATAGGTGAGTGTCCATATTCATGTTCAGAGTGCGGGAAATCTTTCAATAGAAAAGAAAACCTAGTGCAACACCAGTGTTTGCGAAATCTTTCTATAGGAAATATTAGTCTTTTTAACAACAGAAAAGTGTAATGTGGATGGTGGGAGGAGAGCTGTCAGAGAATGTAGTGTGGATGGGGGAGGAGATCTATCAGAGAATGTAGTGTGGATGGTGGAGGAGAGCTGTCAGAGAATGTATTGTGGATGGGGGAGGAGATCTATCAGAGAATGTAGTGTGGATGGTGGGGGGAGAGCTGTCAGAGAATTTAGTGTGGATGGTGGGGGGAAAAGCTGTCAGAGAATGTAGTGTGGATGGTGGGGGGAGGAGAGCTATCAGAGAATGTAGTGTGGATGGTGGGGGAGGGGAGCTGTCAGAGAATTTAGTGTGGATGGAGGAGGAGAGCTGTCAGAGAATGTAGTGTGGATGGTGGAGGAGAGCTGTCAGAGAATGTAGTGTGGATGGAGGGGGGGAGGAGAGCTGTCAGAGAATGTAGTGTGGATGGTGGAGGAGAGCTGTCAGAGAATGTAGTGTGGATGGTGGAGGAGAGCTGTCAGAGAATGTAGTGTGGATGGTGGGAGGAGAGCTGTCAGAGAATGTAGTGTGGATGGTGGAGGAGAGCTGTTATAGAATGTAGTGTGGATGGAGGGGGAGGAGAGCTGTGAGAGAATGTAGTGTGGATGGTGGGGGAGGAGAGATGTCAGAGAATGTAGTGTGGATGGTGGAGGAGAGCTTTCAGAGAATGTAGTATGGATGGGGGAAGGAGAGCTGTCAGAGAATGTAGTGTGGATGGTGGGATAAGAACTGTCAGAGAATATAGTGTGGATGGTGGAGGAGAGCTGTCAGAGAATGTAGTGTGGATGGTGGAGGGAGGAGAGCTGTCGGAGAATGTAGTGTGGACGATGGTGGAGGAGAGCTGTCGGAGAATGTATTGTGGATGTTGGGGGGAGGAGAGCTGTCGGAGAATGTAGTGTGGATGTGGGAGGAGAGCTGTCAGAGAATGTATTGTGGATGTTGGGGGGAGGAGAGCTGTCAAAGAATGTAGTGTGGATGGTGGAGGAGAGCTGTCAGAGAATGTAGTGTGGATGTTGGGGGGAGGAGAGCTGTCAGAGAATGTAGTGTGGATGGTGGGAGAAGAGCTGTCGGAGAATGTAGTGTGGATGGTGGAGGAGAGCTGTCAGAGAATGTAGTGTGGATGGTGGGGAGGAGAGCTGCCAGAGAATGTAGTGTGGATGGTGGGGGGAGGAGAGCTGTCACAGAATGTAGTGTGGATGTTGGAGGAGAGCTGTCAGAGAATGTAGTGTGGATGGGGGGGGGAGAGAGAGCTTCTGAGGAACTGTCCCTTTATGACAGTGTTTCTCAACTCCAGTCCTCATGGACCCCCAACAGGTCATGTTTTCAGGATTTCCCTCAGATGAAACAGCTGTGGTAATTACTAAGGCAGTGAAACTGATCAAATCACCTGTGCAAAATAATGGAAATCCTGAAAACATGACCTGTTGGGGGTCCATGAGGACTGGAGTTGAGAAACACTGCTTTATGATAACATTTTGCCCTTTCTGTTTCAGTTTTCTCTCCTTGGTAAAGCTGTATATGTTTAGCAGATGTTATGTAGACAGACATTCTACACTGTTTGTTTAGGGAAATGTGACCTTGTAGTCTTTCACTTCTATAGCGTTAATAGTGTATTGGGTTGTAGGGTTTTTGTTGTGGATGGGGAAAACCCGGTGGCAGGCTGTCTGGTGGGGGTGAAGCTGTATATACTGAGCTGTGTTCAATAAAGATTGATTCATTTCACCCTACATGAAGTTCCGACTCGTGGTTTGGGATAGCAGGGACGGATTGGCTTTGAGCTCTAATACCTGCCTTGGCAGAGCGCTGGAAGAATTGCAGGACAAGGGGACCATTGGCTGAGATGCATCGCTCCGCACGAGGAACCCCAGGTGGAACGGTTCTGCCACAACTGGTTGGCAGCGGTTGGATCTTTCCTCATTGCGAAGAAAGTCCAAACCACCAACCGGGACCACATCTTTTTCATGGAGACATCCCTGCTCAGCCAGATGGATATACGGGACCTCCGGAAGCCAGCTCTCCAAAGCCTGCTTGTCTTTGTCCTTGGGGGGGTATCGCTGGCTCCAAGACCAGAGAGGAATTGTTGGACGAGATTATGGCCCTAGACCAAGCGGATGCACACCCCACTTCACCTGATGCACACTCCGCTACGCTTGAAGCGAACACTGCTCCGCCAGAAGCAAACTCCGCTTCCCAGGAGAAGTTGGAGGAACAGAGCAGCTCATCGGCCCCTGAAATGCCAGGCCCACTTAGCACCGTACGGAGACCCCTATACCATTCTGATTTACGACAAGAGGTGGAGTGGCATTTGGCTCTGTTCGGCAGCGCTCCCACCTCCAGATTTCCAAGGCCCTGGATGATGCCACCCAACTGCAGCTTAGTCGCTCCTGGTCATCAACCGAGGGCTCGGTCTGGGAGGGGATTACCTCCCGCCGTTTCCAGACTGCAACCGGACCAAAGAAAAATCCCTACGCTGCTTTTAAAACTTTCTCAGAGGTGTATGGGGACATTGACAGCTTTCTTCAGGACTTTGAACGGTTGTGCACCATCCATGGTGTGGCAGCCCAATACCGGGTACCCATTTTGAGCAGCAAGCTAACGGGCTGCAGAGGCATTCAGGACTGTACACGACAGCTACTGCTTGGATTATGATTTTGTTAAGGAACACTTACTGGCCCGCTACGCTCTCACCCCAGAGGCGTACCGCTTAAAGTTCCGGGTACTCAAGAAGAAACCCCAAGACACCTTCACTGAATGGGGACATCAGTTACAACACGCTGCCCACAGCTGGGTCCAAGGGTGTCTGATCACCACGCTGGAGGAACTGTTGCAACTGCTGTTACTGGAGCAGTTTAACAATGGACTTCCAGGGGATGTTAGACATTGGGTCTGGGACAGACACCCCCTAACCTTAGCCGACATTAGTCGATGGGCAGATAAGTACCTGGACAACAGGAGGCTAACCAAGCCCGCCATTCCCCCTGCACCTCGTCCACAACCAGTGGTGCCCACTCTGGTCACCTGAGAATGCCTCAGACCACCCACACCTTCTGACCCAAAGTGGTCTGGTCCACGCTGTTATGGCTGCATCCAAACAGGGCACATCCGCATTCATTGCCCCCGAAATCCCCCAAGGCCCCAGAGCAGCCAACCCTTTCGGGGCATTTCCAACTGACCCACCACTCCCTATGGATGAGCCTCTGCCTACTCCCTACAGGACCACCCCAGTGACACCGCCTCTTTATGGAGGAATTTTACAACCGAGGATGAGGACATTGGGGTCTTTCATGAGGCTAACCCTCTCCAGGCTGCCATCCCAGACAATCCCCGACATCACCAACAGGTTGTCCACGTTAACAGCCATTGGGCCCAAGGATTACGGGACACTGGGGCCACACTCACCCTAGTCCAACCGCAACTGGTACCAGACTGAGCCAAGACCGGGCGGTCTGTGGCCATACGGGTAGCAGGAGGCCATGTCTACCGGATTCCTACCGCAATGGTTCATCTGGACTAGGGGTGCCGGGGCCAAGGACGTTAAAATTGGAGTAATGCAGAACTTACCAGCTGAGGTTCTCCTTGGAAAGGATCTGAGAGTCCTGGTCTCCACTTTTGGCACAGAGACCTGTGCTGAAGCTCATCCAGTCACTACTCCCCACCAAGATAGAGAGTATGCTGCTGTTCCACCTGCTGAGGTTCCGTTAAGAGTTGAATACCCACCTCCTGCTGAGCTTGTCCCTGACCTGGGATTCCCCAGCTGATTTCGCTAAAGAAACAGCCTTAGACCCCTATAGACGGAGGGCTGGAAGTGATCCTGAGGGATTGGGAGATGTGAGGTATGAGTGGGACCAGGGCAAGTTGTACAGGGTCCATGGGGGAGCAGGGGTGGGTGCTGCCCAAATACCTCACCAGCAGATGGTAGTACCGAGGAAGTGATCTCCTCCAGATTGCGCATGATATTCCCCTTGCTGGGCATTTGGGCAAGCGATGGACCCTGCATCACTTAACCCAGAGTTTCTTCTGGCCAGGAGTATCGGGGGACGTTCGGGACTACTGTCGGTCTTGTGAGGTCTGCCAGAAGGTAGGGAAGCAGAGAGACAGGCCCAGGGCCACTCTGAGGCCCCTACCCATAGTCAGGGAACCTTTGTCATATCGCCGTGGACCTAGTGGGGCCCCTGAAACGGCCTAGTCCCACAGGCAAGAAGTATATCTTGACCATTATATCAAATCAATAAGTGAACGCAACCTTAAAGTAAGTGGATAGCAGCTAGCATAAAAAAGGCAAACCTCTGCACCTCGGAAAAGTCACAAAATCAAATATGCAGCACTAAATCTATAATCAACTGGTATGATACAACAATAATGATGTGCATAATCAAGGGTTAGTCAATACTAAGAGTGCAAGAATCTGCTGTGCAAAGTCCAATGTTGCTAATAGTAACGCATTCCAAGGGTGACAATGGTGAACAGTCATTAAACTGAGTGTGACAAGTGATGCTCAGTGATCCGTAATTTCCGCTTGCTGGTGAAGAGGATCTGGTACAATAATGCACTTACCAGAGATACATATAATATGAACATTATACAGTTGCAAGAAAAAGTATGTGAACCCCTTTGGGATTACATGGAGTTTTGCATGAATTGGGCATAAAATGTGCTCTGAACGTCATCTAAGTCACAACAATAGAAGAACACAGTCTGCTGAACATAATACTACACAAACATTAGATGTTGCCATGGTTTAATTGCACATAACATGTAAACATTCACAGTGCAGGGAGAAAAACGTATGTGAACCTTTGGATTTAATAACTGGTTGACTCTCCTTTGGCAGCAATAACCTCAACCAAGCGTTTCCTGTAGTTGCAGATCAGACCTGCACAACGATCTGGAGTAATTTTGGACCACTCCTCTTCACAAAACTGTTTCAGTGTAGCAATATTCTTGGGATGTCTGGTGTGACTCGCTCTCTTAAGGTCATGCCACAGCATTTCAATCGGGTTGAGGTCAGGACTGGGCCACT